GCCCTTTTAGCATGCCACACTGTATGGCCTTAGTCCATTAATAAGTTCTGCTTTTAAATAATTCCCCTTTCCTTCTATAATTAGGGATTAAACATGCAGAACAAAGGCTGAAAAGGAAAGCAAAACTGTCTAGAGTTTTCTGCCAGCTCTTACCAGTTTCATGCCAAGGCCTCTCTCTCCCTGAGAGGACAGCTGACCTGGCCACCGACTGTGTGTTAATTGCATCTCTGGCCTTGCTTTGGTCCTCTGTATTCCTGTACCAAGGCACCTGATCTCAGGAATGCGTAAAGAGCTTAACATTTGCTAGATTAGAAATTATATAATAAGCTTGGTGTGTGTTTTACCATGTGATGTTGACATAACCATTAGGTCAATAAATAATGTGTTTATCTTACAATAATTGATCTATAGCAACTTCCAAAGCAATGATAAAAGGGTGGAAGAGTTTTTATGTGTGTGTGTGTAGGTGTGGGTCGCTGTGTGGTGTGGTCGTGGCGTGTGGCGGCGTCATGTTCTGTCTGTATGTGTTCGCTGCTCCTGTCAGTACAAGCACACGTGCCTTAGCCATGTGTATCTGATTAAAGTCATTCAGCATGTCTTAAGGAGTGTGTGTGTGTTTGTACATGTTGGATTAGTTGAGCTAATGTCATCTTACCACATCTTGACATCATGTGGGCGACCCGTTCGATGTTTTCAAAGTATTGTTGATCCATAATAGCAGACTTTAGACAATGACTCACACCACATAAATCTATTAACTTACTGTATATGTATACAGTATTCTAAATAACAATGCTTACATTTTTACATCATTGGACAAGAAATCAAAAATACATTAGAACATTTTAATTAGCCCTAGAAGAAGCCTATTCTACTGATTGTGCCAAACAGGATTGCAAAGCATTCAGAAGATGACCTTGACATGATTTGCCTGCTGTTCTACAGTATATCAGACTGTTATTATACCACACAATAATATCATTTAAATCTCTAATAAATGATAGAGATAGAGAGAGATGTAAAGCCAAACTCCAAGGCTGTTTAGTGAAAGGATGTGTGTCCTCTGTGAGTGTAACTGGAGGCAATCAGTCCCGCCCTTTGCTCATGCAACAAAACCCAACACCATGAGAAATCTGTGGAGAAGTGAAACATGTGAAAAGCTAAAGCTTCACGTTATCTTATGCTAAGATAAGTCTTGTCACACCTCTCAGTTATAGCTCCTCTCTTTTCTGAACATATGCAGTGTGGGAAGTACCATCTCTTAGTGAGGTACAAATCTCTGGTCAGAGAAGATGGGAATAGTTATAATCCTTGCTGGGAAAGGTCGGATGCTGGCTGTTGAGTGAGTTGGAGCTACGGAGGGAAAAAAAGGAGTAAAGAGGAAAATGATGGAACCAGAAGGAGAAAGAGAGACTTAGTGACTGATTGCTCATGTGTGAAGATCAGCTCTATGGGGAATCTGCCTTTGAGATATTTAACTGAGCTATTTGATTAGAGGAAATGAGCCCACTTACAGTAATTGGATGCACTGAGCTCTCTCTATCCCAACCCTTTTTTATACCATTTCTTCTCCATCTGTTTGTGTCTCTCTTCCCATGTTCACTGAGTAAATCGCTCCTCATAATGAGCAGAAGAAAAACCACAAATATAATCCTGTCACAAAGCAGTGTCTGTGTCCAAAATGATTAGTAATTCTTTTGGATTCATCCTGCATAATCTATGTGGTCTGTAATGACTAACTTGACGCATCAAACAATGTGTATTACAGTTAGTTAGTTAAAGCTTCTTTCTTGGTCTTGTCTCAGGACGTAAAGAATGTGAAAAGCCTCCTGCTCTAAATTAGATGCTGTAGAAAAAGAAATATAGGGTAATTTGGCCCAATCTTAATGTCATATAAAGGCAAGGCGTGCAATCATGGCTCTAAACAAAGAGAGAGAATGCAGCACATCTTAATAGCATTCATGCAACCCAAACTCTCTCTCCCTGTCTTTGTTTCTTGTTGGCATAAGAGAAGGGATAAGATATTCAGCTCCTAGCAAGTTAATGTTGCTATACTGCAGTGGCGTGCCCAGTCCACTTGGTGGCACTCTGGTGGCATCCTGAAGACAACACAATGAGTGTGTGCTTGCAAGTGTTCCTGATTCGTGTGTCCCAGTGTTTTTCTGGCTATATATGGCTCTATCTGCATTCTTATGCCTCTGTGCAAAATCAAGGAGTGGGCTACCTGAGCTGATAATAACATTCCCATGATGCACCATGCAGCTCGGTACAGTACCCGCTTTACAAAATTGGCATTGTGAAATGGAGGGCCACTTCTCACAGCGACTGTTAATGTTTTCCCAGCCTCAGCGCAATTTATCATGCAATGCAACAAGGCATAATTTATATTTAAGCTGTTAAGTATTTTGGAGAACTTGAATTTACTTATTTTGTTTTGTCAGGCAACTCACAAGCAATCATAAATGCATAGAATAAAGGGAAAAGCTGAAGCTGAAATGGTTGGAACTCACAACTTGATAAATGCTTTCTGCTATCTACAATAATAGTAACACATGTGCAGTGTGCTACAATCAAGGAAAATACCTCTGCGATACATATAACCTCTGTGACGCATATGATGAAACTGTAGTGTGTGTGTAGTTGTTTTGTAGTTGGATTGCTTTATATATTTATGTATAGCTAAGTATAACTAATAATTTGTCCTCCCCCTTTTTTTACCTTTCAATACAAGGAGTTACTAAATATTAGGTCCAATTTCGGTACAACAAAATGAGCATAGATACCAGATTTTTCTTCTAATTATGTGTGTTGTATGCATTGGAGGGTTAGTATATTGTTTGTTTGTTTATCTTTACATGAATTCAGACTTCATGGTAACATTAACTTAACTTGTAACTTAAAAAATTAGCTTAATCAAAGTTCAAAGTCAAGTTTAGGGTTGCACTGGTCTCCTAAAAAACTGTTTTTTTTCCATTATCCATATGTCTGAGTTTCTGTCAATAGAGGTAGATAGGTAATAGATTTCACCTTGTTCCCAACTGTTCCCCTTTTCTCTTTCAGTTTTCCAACCAAACTCCTAGTGGTTTTGTAGCAGAGTTACAGCTGCTTCTTATCCCTGATTTATTTATTTTGCCTCTAATTTTAGGCTTTTGTGGAGCCAGGTTAAGACAGGTCAATTCATTAGTGTTTAAATGAGTGAGGTGCTTAAGCCCTTTTGTCTGCAGAGTGCTTAGCCATTTATGGAACATGCTGCCAGTGAACCGGCTATGGTGTTGCATTAATGAGGCCTTAAAGAACACCTTTGTCTTGATTTTAAATTGACAGCAGCAGCGCTATAAGGTAAACAATGTTTTGTGTGTGTAACTCTTTGGGTGCATACAGTGCTTTCAATAGAGACCATCACACAAGATTCAAGTTTTTTTGCTTGTGGTCATTCCCACAATTTCATCCTATGCTTCCATCATCATTTGATCATGACTCCATTTAGTTTCCGACCACAGTCGCGACCTGTTATTTTACTTCAGATCATTACCATG